GTGACTCATAACACGAGTGATAACGAGGCCTTCCTCCCTGCGGTTTATAGTTGGATTGTATTAATCCAACAAGGCTTACAAATAAGGGTGATCACTTGCCGATTTGAGTTATAGTCGCTCGAAATAATAGTATACTGGAAAAAAGGAAAGAGTGATATCTTTACTGCGACGAAATTTTGCGGTTAAGCGGGTTTCCAGATGATATGAACCCTTCGGCTCTCTTCCATCGATCTATCGAATTTTTGCTGGTTTTCGGCTTATCAAACTATACTCCAAAATTTTAATAAACGATTTTCATGGTTGGGTATTGTCATCGACTAGACTATTCATCAGCAAATAATTACATTCAGTTTAGATTGAAGCCCTGTGTGTTGGTCTGATTATTGCTCGATAGCATAACGAATTTAATAGCGTAGATGTTGTTGTTCTCGTGGCACAGTATGAATTTTCATTTTTATCTCTCTAAAGAGCTTTTCAATTCTGGCATGTTTTGTATCTAGTACAAATCCTCTTTACTCGTAACATTTCCATAAAGACTTATCCTTAATGAGTTAATAAATGATAACTTTTTTCTGACATACTCAGGAATTTCTCAGATAATCATCTGTGTAAGAAAATAAGAGAAACGCATGCACTCCTCTGGTGAAGCTACCATAATCTTGAAGCGCAGGGAACATTGCTAATAAGCGGTATAATGCTATAAAGGATTCTGTACTTGTAATCAAGTTCTCTTACGTAATATCCGATAACGTGATAACACGACTTAGAAAAAGTACGGTAGTACTCTGGAACCATTGTTGTCCAGTACTAGTATTTCTACACTTTTACGAAGCTGGAGAGTGAGCAAATCATAAGCGGATGCTTTCCAGCTTACAATAACTGACTAGTCTTCGCACATTTCGCCCATTTTTTGAATCAAAACCGTTTTTGTTATTCCGGAATTTTATTGATGTCACATTTACGCTTTTTTTCTAAACGTTGTCGAACACAGGACGTGATATCAACGCTAAGTACACTAGCTGTTAACTGCTATAAGAAAAGGCTATCGTCATTACTGATCACGATCACCTCTATCATTTGTCTTCTCGGTGAATTTCGTAACTCTGATTAACCAACATTCGCATTTCTTTTCAAATCTTCATCTGCCTAATTGTTCTCTGTTTACTCCAGAGAAACCATCAACACCTTGTTTATCACCCATCGAAATCGACCATTCGCTGCGCACCACGTGTTCTGCAGTTTTTGACTTCTAGGACAACGTATGCAATTTTTGGTAATTCACATTTATCGCATTTTCGGGCTCGCCAACATATTCATGCGAAATGGCTTTCTCTAATCACCAACGTCGCTATAATGTACTTAAAAGCGATGACGTAGGCAGCCACATCATCTGAGGAGCACGTTTATCGGTGGGGAAATTGTTTAATTAGCATATACACGCAGAAGCGAAGTACCTTGTAAGTTTTCTAGGTGAGTCGTTTCTTCTTACTCATGCTCAGAATATGTCTCCATAGGGAATATCTGAAAGTGTGGTAAGCTCAGTAAACAGTTACTACTTGTTTGCAACCTAAACAATTACATGATAGTGGACGGAGAGTTTCCATTGTTACGATCTCCGACTAGCTGTTCATCTCACCTTGATAACCAGAGTTTTCACCCTCTGGAAGCTTGTAGTTGGCTTCTATGAAATATCTACATTACACTGCAAAGCAGTTCCCAAGCCAGTAATGTGGAGTGGTGAAAAAAAAAACCTTAGATTGATTCCTTGTATTACAGAAAGAGTGATAGGAGGACAAGAGACTTGATAGTGCAATGGTCAGCACGCAACCCCAGAAATGGTGCAGCACGGGTTCACCTCCCGCCTGAGGTTCAAAGTTTTGCGTACCACTCAGTAATACTGGATATGTAATTACAACTATATATCACTACTAGAGAAGCAGTTGAATAAAGCTTCTTGTCGGTTCCATAAGTCTTTGCAGAATCCGAGCAAATGTAGTCTAACAATGTTGAGGGATATTCAGATATTGATTCTTCATCGAACCTGAAGTCTGTTTCAGTGGAAATTATCAAGTGAGCCTTGTCGCGTCTGTGCTGCCTTGTGCGTTCGGCTTTGTATGAGAATGTAGTGGTCTTCCTTGTGAGCGCTTCTTATTCACTGGAATATAGTCGTTGTCGATTCCCATCCACTATCACACGTAGCACGAATTCGTTAGGCTGATTTGATTTCCGACATCTTTGTATTGAATTATCGAGAAAAAACGAGCAATTACTACCATGGATCGAAATTGAAATTCTTGTGTGCCTACCATTCCTTCATTAAAAGAAAAGAAAACCGATATCAGTCCTAATATAAACAATTAAGTGCGCTCTTATGCGCTCACTTGATGTTTTTTTACCAGACATGATCTCTTATTGCGTTTTGGTCGCTACCAACATCTTTAGTTTGAAGATTATCCATACGATTCATCAATCCGCGGTGATGTTCATACTCTAGCTGGCCCAGGAGCGGAGTGTAATCTGTTGGAGGTCCATGTAAGGATATTCATGGCTAGCTTGCTTTGAAAAAACCTTACGTTCCCAGCAGCAACATCAATATATTCGTCATGTTTTAAGAAATCCTAGATGATATTTCTCCATTAACTTAAGAAATCGGGCGATATTGTTTGGCTTTCTTTAGATAGGTTGTCCGTGGTGCACAGTCAACGGTACGAGTATATTCACCTGTCTTTCCTTGCTATTCTCTAGCTTTTCGGCATAAATAGCCTACTTAAAACCTAGAAGCTTTCAGTTTGCTCTAAAGATTCTCTGTAATTTAGTTTTCTAAATTTTACCAGAAACATTGAGAAGATCAGATTAATTTTGTTTTTTGTGTACGGTTTTAAATAAGTCAGATCTTTGCGTGGCCTTCCTATGTAGTAACAGTCACCGGTAAAATAAAGGCGAAAAACTTTTTGTTGCAGAAAAACCCTTGGTTAGTGTTTCTTTAGCCACTTCTCTACCGTGTCAAAGAGCATGTCAGTGGAGCGCGAAATGTGTGTGCCCTGAAATCGGTCTATATTTCCAATGTTGCACAAGAAAAGTGGGGTACACTGGACTTTTCGTGACAGTCGTTGAACAAAGTTGCTCCCAGAAAGGTAAGAAAGAAAGAAGAAGAGAAAAATTCAGGGAAGTATACAATCGCGTGCAGGATGCGCTTTGCGTGAAATGTTCCAGTGTTGCTAGTAATCATTTTGTTTCATAATTTCACAGCGGCCTGAAGAAATGAACCTGTAGGATTATCGTACTTTCATGCTGATGATGATTTACGCTATAACGTCACCTTTATGTCGTGTTGAATTTCAATTCTTTCCTGCTTGAAGTTGATTTGTAATTGGCTGTAGCAGATAAGTAAATTTATAGCATCTATGCCTTTTTACACCATCTGGACCACTTTTTCGTTGAAGACAACGTCTATCTTAGGATTTGTTGATTTTGTGTTGGTCGTTGAATAGCATTTCTCAATCACGAGGGAGGTCGATGCACTGCAATAAATTCCAGTGTCTCTTTGAAGAAATAAACTTTTATTGAACTACTTAAGCTGAGGATGATCATAGCTTCTGAGATTCTGTTGTTTGCCAGTGTTCGCCGAGCATCACATAATGTCCACAACGCAACAATCACCTGTATCACCTGTCGTTCCGTTGAATAAAGATACTGTATGTTTATTCTTGTGCTTAAAGTGAGAGAGAAGAGCTAAAGGATTTATAAACATGTTCTAAAGTATTCTCACTCAGATCAATAGTGAGTAAAGGTAGTACTCACTATTCGTTTTGGAGCGCGATTAATCAAACTCCCAGTCATTTGCATATTGAAATGCTTTATAAAGTCATTACGAAGGAATTATGATATTGAATTTTAGTGTAACAGTTGTACTGAGAGAGTGGCCATCGGCAGTACAACTTACAGCCAATCTTTCAATCGTCCATCTTTAGTATGAAAAAAGGATTTTTCACGTACACGCAGATACAAAAATAAGTTAATAGATAAAATTCTTTTTTTATTAGCCGCTTTTCGCGGTGAATATGATATTACAAAGATATTTGATGATGTTTAATGATGTACAAAACTTCGACATCGGACGAGAATCGAACCCGCATTTTACCCATTCGGAGGGCGCGCGATAAGCAATCGCATATCTAATTACTCGTATACTCATCTTTCCATTGAATCTGCAGATATTTTCTTGATCATCTGACCACTGCAAAGCGTTAGATTTAGAGTGGGTGTGAGACTGCGAATTCTTTTGCATCGGTTGAACAACACTCAAAAGTACTCTAATAAGATTTCTTCCAAGAAATCCGTAAGGACGACTGTCATCAATAAAAGCAGGGAATTAAATTTACTCTATTATGGAGAAGATTCTACCGCACAGTGATGTTGAATCCTAATTGGATTACAGGGCTCAACTTTTTTGGTAATAATTTTTTGTTCACTTTTTCTCATCGTAGTATATTTATTTTCTTTTACCAGCTTCTTCTTATCGCCTGAAAGGTTTACATAGTGAGACTACTGAGCATATTCTCTCTCTTGCAGTTTCGAAAGAACTAATAACAACTGGTAATGAGCTGGACGAAACAAATCCAACACATTCCCTTCACTCTATTCACACTTCAACTATGTTTGTTGATAATGTGGCTTTTATTTCTTATCAGCTTTTTCTTAAAGCCTACACGGTAAACAACATAGCAGTGCTGAGTATATTCTTCTATTCGCACTTCTGATTGAACTAATTATATCTGCTAAGGAGCTAAGCATAGCAAGCTTGCCAGCATATTCCCTCAACACTATTTGGACTTCAGCAGCAAATTTCTTCGTTTATGTAACTGTAATGTCGCTCTACCATCATTCTTTGTGTGTTTTCGTTAACTACTCTGCTTCTTTCATTCTGCTCAATCGAATTCGTCGTCTTCAACGTATCATTTTGAATTATACCTAAAAGAATTCAGTGGTAAGCGAAAGTTCGACTTCAGATGCGAGTCGAACCAGCGTCTCACCCATACGGGGAACGCGTGCTACCACTACACCACAGAGGCAGCGTTTCGCTACCCCTCATTTTTCAATGTCTTTATCATAGCTATCAGCCACCAACCTTTGACAAGTTTTTTCTGGATAAGTGCATATCGCTTCATAAATTCAGTTAACCTAAGCCAAAAAGCAGTAAAAACATAAGAATTCTTGCGTATTATATATCACAATGGCTGCCAGCTCAACTGGGTTTATAAAGCGATACGTGCTTACCCGAACAAATCTGTTAAAGGTTGTGGCTGATAGCCATGATAGAGGATTCGAAGAATAAGTGCTAGCGTAACAGCGCCTCGGTAGTGCACTGGTAGCACCGCGTCCCGGTATGGGTAAAACGGTGGTTTAACCCTCGTCTGAGATCAAATTTCCACTTCCACGCAATTTTCTTAGGTATATTTGAAACATCATAACATTGCAAAAGGAGCAAAAAGCATAAGAATTGTGGAGTATTACCTTGAATGGAATTGTGTCGCCGCTTATTTAACCACTGACTTCCTGATTTTTTGCATCTGGCGTTCTCTCAATTTCTCACACGTGAATCAAAAGTCATATCCTTTTTTCCTGCTTTCTCATTAGCTTTACTAGCGAAAACCGATAACGATATTCTGGTTATACTTAGAGCAACTACCTCGCTGTATAAGATTCAATTACAGATCGCTTATTTGCTTCAATTATCTTTTTCCGTGTACTACTTACAACTTTTCTCATTACCCTTTTCAAACTGATAAATCTTTTCTTTTACGTGTAATCGCTACATTAGGGCCTCACGAGTATGGAGCAATCTATCAAGACTTTTGTCATTAAAGGCCACACCATTTATGTTTGTTCATCTTCTTTCTTTTCGCTTTGACACTCCCTAGCATTCGTTTCCGGGATTTACCATCTATGATAGAATACTAACAAACATTTGATTTGATTTGGCCCAATCCAAATCTTTTTGCGTGAAATGCTCCGTTGACACTGAGCGTCAGCCCGTACTTCAGTATCTTGAAAAAATTTATATCGGAAACGACTTGTCTCATGTATTGAAACCGGCTCACATCAACAATAATTATTTACTTCATTGTTTGGATAATTTATCTCAATAAAGAATCGTTTGAATCAAAGTAAAATTCCATTCGATCAGTACGTTGCTTATCGGGTTTGACTCTTTTTGCGTGACGTGTCGAGATAATCATGGCCAAGCCTTTCTCAAGTCGTTAGAGCACTAGCCAATCTGTGTAGATAGAACTAAATTTAGTGCCATCCTACGACTAGGTCATTAACAGGACAATGGTAATTTTTGCCACTCGTGTGCACTTTGCTGAGCCTCTGCATGAAAACCCCTTCACAGCGTGGTAGACTTAACCAGAGATAAACTTTCGCGTGCAGATTGCAGTTCAAATCAGGATCATGTCCAGTTAAAATGAAGTGCTTTTGGATGGTATTCCTATCCACGCCACTGGGCTAAAGTTTGTGACTCCTCTGAGCACATACGACGTCTCTTTCATAGAATAAGACAAAAATTGCGCTTGTACAATTTATAGTCTTATGACATTACAAAGAATTTTCTCTTTTCAAATACTGACACCTTGTTTCGCAGACCTGCACAGCTTACACAATTTTTTTTTTGATATCATATGATGGCAGTTGTAAAGCCACAACGTGTGCGTTTCATTCCACTTTTACCACCCGTTGTCCACTATGATCCACACTATTTCGTTTTATCGAAATCAGGCATTTTTACGAAAATTCGTCAGGCTAGTTTCAAATGGTGATGTGAACAAGCTGGTGATCATATCAATAATCAATAAGCTACTCTCGATATTTTGTTAATAATTTCACCTCAGTTTGATTGATGAGTAACTTATTTCATCGACAAATCAACATTAGGTCGAAATTGAAGCCAATTCGATTATAAAGTGTGCAAATCTTTCCTCATATAGACTCCATTCTTGGCATTCGATGATAATGTAAAAACGTCTGATGAATCGCCAATTTTCCAACCTGATTTTCCGAGCTTCCTCTGGAAAGACTTCTTATAAGAAAAGCTTTTTTTCATGTTTATCACTTAAATGTGGAGTAGTTTATGTAACTAGTTTGTTGTAAAATACAGAAGCACACTATTAAGCTTCGAATAGTTCTTTGCGAGCAGACCACAAATCAATCACTTTGATGTCGGCCGGGTATTTATTAACTAAAAATTTGACTATGAAGGCATCTTAAAGGCCAACAGGCTGTATAGTAACCGCAAATAACTGACCGTTTTTCAGGGAATTATCGATGGAAAACGGTACTCTGAGGAATTGCACATACAGGTACTCGTCCGACGACAGCATCACCTCAATCGCCTTGTGGATTGATGTGGGTGGAGAGAGTTGCAAATTCTATACTGAAGGCATCAGCTCTTATAGATTGACATAGTTATCGCTCTTCAAAAATAATAATGAGAAAAGCACTCAGTGTCTGGAAAATTTCATCCAAAGTACATCTGTCTCGTGGAGTTTTTTGTGGACTTCAATTGGATAGCGGTAATACTGAAACTGTCTATGTACGGCTTGCCCTTTACAATTTGCAGAAGCTATCGACTGCTTGTGATAAAGATCTGATATTGCTTTGAACGGATATACTAAGATTCAGCGAGAACTGACTCGACCAACGATCAAAACATATCGTGAACAGACCATGTACCTACGCAAAAGCTTTATCCTCATGCAGAATCCAGTGATCTTTGTGGATGCTGCAGGCGAGGTAGAAATTGAGTGGAGGAAGTGCTGATCAAAGAAATGCGGACGTGAGGAGGACTCCTGCAAAAACCTACATAAAAATCATTTTAATCCTATAAAATATCTTGAAGTCTGTTTGAAATTTCTCTAAGACTTCAGACTATGAGCTGAAATTATGTAGTTTGGATAGGAGCCATGTTGATGACAATAAAACGAGGTGAGTCGATTTTCAACATTGATACACCGCGAAACTGTCTTGAAGCAGTGCTCCCACAAGGACGAGCTTGAGTTGGAATTCGCATCTTGTTCGAAGGTTACGACTTATAGTACTACTATTGACATAGGTGCATGATAAGCACCTTGTTATACCTCCTGAAACGGCGGATCAGCACGTTCCCAACGTGTTGTCTACTTGATTGCAAATTGTCTTGTTGTGTAGGATTGACGATGATTTCGCACCTAGGGATAACACCACAGTGCAGAGATGGAGTTTTCCTCTATAGCTCTTGCTCAAACACTCGCCAACATTGGTGGAGCGCTGCATTTTGATACACCAAGTAGCGGCGAATGAGAGCTGTGGTTAGTGATGAAGACTATCGGGAAGCAAAGCTCTGGTTCTGTCTCCTTCCCCACTACTCTCATACGATTATGTGGGAAGGTCTTAGCTGTGCTGTCTTCGAAATTGCACAAAGAATTAATTCAATGCATATTTCACTACATTTATCGAGAAGGCGAAATCCTCATGCTGTATCCGAGACAACACACAAAATGTTCGAAGACCTTTTTGACGACGAATGAGGAGGAACGAATCGAGTGCTGGACGTATTGGAATTCACACACTGAAATATGATGAAGGATCGCTCTAAATGAAAAAATAAAGTCCTAAGACAAAGTTTATCAAGGCAAAACTCAAGTACATTATAAGTTTTTGGTAAAAAAAACTCAACAGAGCGCCCGGTACTGCTCATTTCTGTAAGATGCTGCGCTTCACTTCATCAAGAATCGGAGAGGTGCTTGCATACATATCAGACCTGTGTTGTGACCTGTAGTGCGCGCAGATATATCACGCTGTCGCTGCTCTCTCAGACAAGTCCGATACCGATTTTTCGACCTTAGAGGGATGGAAGGCATGGTGTGCTTAGGAAGAACCGGCCACAAACCCGGTATGAACTACATCGCATCTCTTACTATTTCGGTACACGTATCCCATCTTCAATAATATCGTGTATATCAGAAGTTCACTAGCTTATGCGGTTGGATATTAGTTCCTAGCTCACTAGTGATTGTGCCATAATCGTTTGACTTGGCTTATTAGCTAGTTGTGTGTTGCACATTGGAGTGAGCGTTGCATGTACGATGAGTACTTAGTATTGTTGCCACGCAGATCTTGGTGAGATAGGATGAGCGCAGGTGAGTGATAATAAAGTTACACCACAAACCAACAATATTGATCGCCATAATGAACAACCTATGATAAACCATTATTACAACAATACCACAAAAAAGAGACATACAATTATGACACGTAACGCAATGATAACGGCACATGATGGTAGAATGGATGTTAACCAAAGTGTATCCCCGAGCCCCAGATCTCTAAATGAATGAGAAGAGCCATACAATGTAAAGAGCAGTGACAATTCACATGAACAAAATACGCGGCAATGTGAATTATGTTGAATTATGACCGGATTGTTATGATAAACCAAGAGAAGTGGAAGACGCGGCAGGGATCTAAGTGGCTTCGATGTCGAACTGTCGGCACATGGATGATACTGTTGTTGGCATGGCTCTTTCATGATTATCCCGCAGATATTAGCCTGTGAATAGCTCAAACCAAAGCACAGGCCACCTGCGTATTTACGAACACGGAGCCAGCGAGATACAAATCAAGTACAGGCATCTATCTGTGCACCGAATAATACGAGCCAGCGAGTCACAGATACAGACATCTGCTCACCGAAAGACACGTGCGCATCAACGTTTGGCTCATCTGTAGCTGTGTTAACTCTGCAACAAAACAGATTAATAATCATGAGTTTTTGAAATAAGATAATAGCAATTTTCCGGGGAATAACTGCTATATCGCGATCACACACTCTCCGACGCCGGTCTACAATGGTTGAATTTATTTTTTGGTTATAAAATTGTTGCAATACTTGTGGTGATCTTATCGTTATAGGGACCATGCACGTGTGTGGCAGCGATTCTCGCGTTGATCGGCGTACATTTTGCCGTTCGTTTTCTCTATCGAGCCGGTTTAAACAAAGATCTGACTGCAGGTGAAAGATTATTTGAAATTGAAC